TTCCGTTGAATGTGAATGGAGTATCAGCAACAAATCTTACATAAACATTATTCCTGACAGTCAACCGAAGACCGATTTCACAACACGTGCAGTTATACGGGAACTATTGTTAGAACAATTTCATTCTAAAAGCGATGATCATCTAGTTGTATTGCATCATTTTTTACTCACATGTATTCACGCCCTGTTATCCATCCCATTTTTCGCATGGCGTTTTCGACAGTGGTTGTGATTGGTTTTGGAGAGATTAAACTCCTCTCTATACGCCGATGAAGTTGTCGTTGAAGAATGACGAATTCTTCTTGTATTATTCGCGATGGATTTTTCTTTGTTAGACAGCGGCGAGCGAGTTCACAGGAGCTTCTAGTCCTGTAAGGACTGAGGAACGGGCTTCTTAAACCGATAGAAGTTAGATACACCAGTACTTTCTACATAGCGATACTGCAATGGTTTCCGTAACTGTGTGAACATGGTCTGTCTTGTTAAATTTTCTTTAAGCCAATACGACTAGGACATTGCGGCATTTTTTTCTCCTGCGGTACTGCAGTGATCTCTTTGTGTGAATTTGTATTATCCGTGTTCCACTTTTCTGCCAATATTCTCGAAACAACTCAAGCAAAGAGCATACAGACAACGGGAAGCAACTTGGTAGTTTGTGATAGACGATATACGTATAAGTCTCCATTCTTATGAAGCAACACGATCTTGATGATCCCTGATTGACTGGGAATCTCGAACTCTGACAGGTGTGACGACTTGCTGACGTTCAGTTCACGTGGTAATATGTTGAGCTTTGTACCCGCCCTCCCTAACATGACGCAGAGGTGCACAGCCTGGAGTGCCGAAAAAGTGTAGTGAAAGTCGTGGATAACTTTTAGGATCATCATTCTGGATTCGTCGCTACTCCATCCACTCGCCCGAGGGCAATAATCATTCTCTTGTAAGCTAACTTTTTTATTTACTACCTATTATAATCTTTCATGGCAAGGTATTACGTATGAAACAACCACAATGATGCTGAGATGTTTGCAAAACTCCGGACCGCAGGCGTTTGCAGTAGGGAACGAACGCGGTATCACCCTTTCTGGGGCTAACGCGTTCACCACCACACCATACGGGTACTCCGCTTTGCCTGTCTCTCAGCTGGTTCTGTTTGCAGAGTTTTAGAGTTTTGCAAATATCTCAGCATCATTGTGATTGTTTCACACGCAATACCTTACCATGAAAAATTATAATAAGCAGTAAATAAAAAAGTTAGCATTGTGATTTCGACTACAACCTCAGCTTAACTGAACTCGTTGCCGACGTGGGTTCCTTGGATCAATCCCGTTGACGGGTGATTGCTGACGGCGCTGATCGATAGAACTAGCCGAGAGACAGGCGAAACGAAGGACCCACATGGTGTGGTGGTGAACGCGTTAGCCCTCGGAAAGGGTAATATCGCGTTCGTTCCCCACCGCAGACACCTGCGGTCCACAGCTTTGCAAATATCGCAGCATCATTGTCATTCTCTTGTGTTTATTCCACGAATCATCTCGTAGCATGAGTAGGTGCCAACAAAACTTCCATTCCTCGCTGTCATGTGTCGGCGCTGCTCTCTAGGTTCCATTCTATCAAAGAATCCCATGAGATCCCTCCTTCGTGCACCTTTCCTGGTGTAGCAACCTTGTGCTTTTAGCGGCGAGTAGCAGAGTACAGTTTGACCGTATGCACCGGTTCCAGTATATACGGCATTGGCGCTTTGAACTATCAGTAAACATACCTCATATCACGGTAAACCTCCTTGTGGTGCCCACAAAACATAGTGTCCTGCTTTTTTCGTTGAGGGTCGTACTTCGGAAATCGAAGTAGTTTCACAACATGTAACTCAAGAAGCTGATTCTCCCAAAACCTCAGCATAAATAATCGACATACTTATTTATATGTTCTTATGAACAGATCTTTTTGAGGTGATGCGAGATTGTCGTTGTTGTCGTTGTTGTTTGTTGTTTGTTGTCGGTCAATGGCTGACCTTTAGTGGCGATTTCGCCTTCCTTATAGCCGTGCTGTTACTAGTGGGGCACATAGTGAGGCATCGACCAACAACAACAACAACAACAATAACGACAACAACGACAACAGCAACAACAACAACAACAAGAACAACAATGACAACCTATACCAACCTCGCATCAGCTCAACAAGATCATTTCACAACATATGGCTCGTGCTTGTGACTATCACCCATGCTCCGGAATTTTTATCAGGTTGAACCTCGTTTCCAGTTTATTTTTCCCACTCGAATGAAAAACTGGAGGAATAAAGTAGAAACGAAATTATTCATAGATCTAAAGCAATGAGACAATGTCTGCTCTATAAGGCTGTTAAGTTCCAAATTGTTCAGCATCTTCAAGGAGAGAAGGCTTTTTTTAATTGAAAGATTATCGTTAATTGTCGGAAGACTAGCACGTGACACTATTCATCAAAAATTTAGTTATCTTTGTCCGTAGCAAAAAGCTATTCAAAGATTGTGTTTTGCCTGTGTCTGTGAAAAAAGATATGTCTCTTGTGAGAACACGTTAATTCATTTGGGCAAAACCCAATTGTGCTAGACTTCGTCAAATATTCGCACTCACATATTAGCTGGAGGATCAGTTGCTCAATCTTTTTATAAACAGAGACAGGTCGTTAAGAAGCTCTTTTTAAAAGGTACTATTCAGACTGACAAGGACTACACTGGCGAACACCAGCATGTCGGCTTGTGGACGCTGAACAGCGAAAGATTGATACTCCTTCGGCTTTCTGCCATCGTGCTGACAATATACTTTATTTACTTCGTAGAATTTGTGGCGTATTATCGTCAAAAGCAACAGGTCTGTTTCACAAAGGTTTTGTTGAGCAGTCGTTCTTCGCATTGCAATAATCCGTGGTATTCCCATCAAAACCAGAAAACACGTCGTTGTGAAGAGGATCTCGTTTTTAAAACTTATCTAAAGATATGCTCAGAAGGTCCACCATTTTTAACAAAAACATTACCAAGTGATTGACCGTAAAAAATACTATGCTCATTAGGAATACATTTGTTCCCGATGCTTAGCACAACGAATTCTTCCAATCACTTCATCTATTTGACTTAGCTCCAGGGCCGAATGCCAGCAAACGATCACTTTAGGAGCTTTCACCAGACATCGCTAGTGGTTCAATGCATACTTGGCCTATACAATGACTAGTATCGGTCTACCGATGTATGGACTGAGTGCTGCTATCTTCAAAGGTAGTTCTGGTACCAATTTAACCACCTCGGAAGAATGGAAGGCTTGGTGAGGCCGGGGCGTGGGATCGAAGCAAAGACTACGTGGGCATTTCAGGACCTCTCTAACCACTACACTACACGCGCCTTGGGTTTGTGGAGCATAGAAAAAAACGCCTGACTTCATTCTCACGTTTTCTATTCTATAATCCTTCTTATGTTAATGTTCATCTCAGAAATTTGAACGGCACTTAAGCAGAATGGAAAAGCGGCCAGTATCATCAAATATGTCTTTGAGTAGGCCTTAGTGGGGACGATCATATTGCCTATCGCGTCACATGTCTTTTGAGCAACCTCTGGAAGAATCCTCAACGGTTGAAACTCGTAAGCAGAAGAACCATTGCCTCACGGCAAAACTTCATCATGAAGAATATGAGCAAAAAATATGATGGTCTTCTTGTCTCTCGAACAAGTGGAACACTGCGAAATTGTTACATCACACGGACGAATGGATAGTTTGCTGACTGCAGATTAAAAACACTTCTTTGTCAACGGAGGAGCATGTGAAAAAGGTGATCGGGTCATCAGAATGTTGAATAGCTGCAAAACATTGCTGACATTCATTTCATAAAAGGGCGAGAGCAGCGCTTACAGGATATGTTATACCATCTCGGTAATCGCAGAAAAAGAATAGCATCCCAACAACGGTTGTCAGATTAACAGAGCTTTTTTAAAGTCGGAAGAAAATGATGCCATGATTTTTTCATTTATGCCTGCAATAATAAGTAGTAGATAAACAGCTGAATTAAGAGAGTTTTACGTTTTGTTTTCTGCCTTCTGTAATTTTCATGGCAGGTTACTAAACGAAATACACCCACAACGTTGCTGAGATATTTGCAAAACTCTGGACCGCAGGTGTCTATGGTGGGGAACGAACGCGTTATTGTCCTTTCCGGGGAGTAACGCGTTCACCACCACACCATGCGGGTCTCTGTAAGAGAGTTTTCTCCGTTTTCATTACTTGCATATACTTTAAAAATCGCCGTTTAGAGCTTGAAGAATATGTCGTCCTTCCAAATAACAAAATCGAAAATCACTCAGTGCACAGACACGCTCACCAACCATGCATGGAAAGAGGGTTGCTCTCCTGGCGACCTGACTACCCAGCAGTTGCTCTCCGCAAACACCAGGTAGGTGAACGAGATGCTCCGCACCTGAAAGCACAATATTCAATAGATGAGCAAAATAGAGAGGTTAGATCATGAATACGACATAGATGTGCGTTCTCGTTCAATGCATTAACTGCATTCTCACTCATACTTCTCGGCATTTGGCGTAAAAACTACTAGAGTCGGACTATTCAACTATTCTCGATTGAGATTTAAATCACAAAACGGTAGTAGCTCGCATAAACGATCTGCACCTATCTGCATCTCGTGTTCCAGCAATGTCGAAAACAATCCGCAGGAAACAGCCACCGAACAAGCCAAGTTCTGCTGTGGCCTGAAGGTCAGTTAAGGTAAAACGAAGTTATTTGGCATACCAGGGTTCAAAAGCGAAGTTTGGTGAGACAAACTTAAAAAGTTGAAAAGCATTGCCCAAAAATTTGCTCGACCGGACCACTAATCTGGCGCCTATAGGTTAAGTAGAATTATCTATACGCTTGCTCAATAGATGAAAGGGATTTAATTTGAATAGCAAGACGACTGCTGAGTCGCAAATTGTGCTGACGTATCATTAGGAAAGCAGATTTCAATTTGAGTTGGTTTGAATGGTCTTTCGCCTTCAATATGATAGGCGTAGCATCAGCATCAAACTTTCACCAGATATAATTTCATCGACAAGTGTCAACGGATCACTGAACAAATACAATTTAAGGGCTGAATTTCAGTCTCGAGCTGTAGTGATTTTGTTGGGCGACAGCGTGCACAATTTCATTGACGGTATAGCCATTGGTGCATCTTTCCATCATTCCATTCAACTTGGCATCATCACCACCATTGCTGTTATATGCCACGAACTCCCTCATGAACTCGGTATGCAAGAAACTTTTCACTGTTTCTTTTCAGGATTGGTCTGAAGTGAGAGAGTACTTTTCGAGCATAGTTTGTGTTCTCTCGATGCAAAACCTATGAAATAGTTCGCATGGTTGGTGCAAAGCCCATGTGTAGTATGGAAGTCCAGCAGCAGTTGTGAAGTACTGGACCAAAATGCCAGTTGCACGCTTCTCATATAGTCTTTGTTTTATGGAATATATTAGTAGACCAAAGGCAGCATGTTTTGGTTGGTATGCTCAACAGGAGTGAGGACGTTCCGCTGAGTATATGTTAGCTTTTCAGGAGACATGGCAGTGCTCATCGAATCAGGGCTCACAATACGAAGAGCGCTCCTTCTAAATTTCCTCTCGGCTCTGACCGCGTTCTTTGGTCTCTTCATAAGTGTTGTAATAGGCAAGATATACCTCATACTCCAAATTATTATAATCAGTTGTTAATATAGGCCAATATGCATTCAGGTTACACAAGAATTTAAAGCATTACAGCAAGTCTCATTACTATTAAGGACACTGAATACACCTAAATTAATCATGAACATTCGTGGCGCTATGCGCCCGAACAAACGAAGGCCGTAAGCAAAGAATTTCTAATTGAACTATTGGACCTTTTCGCTTCTATATAACGCCATACCAGATTGCAGCATTCATTCAGAGAATAATTCACGCGGGCTTCTGAAATCCCGACTGCGAGCACTTCAACGCAGCTACAAAGTCAATTGTGGTTAAACCTAATTTCCATAGAGCATCGGACAACAGATGTATACCGTTCTGGACATACAGGAGACGAAGAGTTTCTAAGCTGTTTTCAACTCTGTCGATGAATTCACTCATTAAAATCTAGACCATGCTATTTCCGTAAGGCTTTTATATCTGTGTTCAAAGCCGCAATTGTGCCTTAACTTTGTATACCCTAATTATATATATATGTCACCTGTATCGCCTGTAGTCTCGTTGATCATCGAGTGACTCGAGCGGGCCCTGTAAATCTTCCATTTTTCCCTGTCGCGTGCAAGAGTAACCCAGTGGGTTCTGCCCGCCCTAAGGATTCGTCGAGCATCATATCTTTCTTCTATGCTCTTCGTGAGCAACTCTGACAATGGGGTCGGTGGTCTTTCTGCAGTACGTTTGACATTCCGAGGAATCCAGTCACTAACAGCTCTTGTCCTTCGGTTGTCATTCATACGCATTACGTGTCCGGCCCACTTTATCTTCGACTGTTTAGCGTACAGAACGGCATCTTTGATTTTTGATCGTTGACGCAGATCGGAGCTTCGAATCCCATACCTTACTAGTGTGAAATAGGATACTCCTAGCATCGTCCTTTCGACTGCACGTTCGATAACGCTGAGCGATCCTGCTTACGCAGCGTTCTGACTCATACGTTAGGGCAGGAAGTACCGTTGAGTCGAAAAGGTGGGCACGGAGTCGGGTGTTCTTTGTTCTCCTCACTAAATCTTCGATACTCTTGAAAGCTCCCCAAGCCTTTCGTTTCCTTCTGCTCAGCTCTGCAGTTAAGTCGTTCAACATGTTGATTTCCCGACCAAGATAAACATAAATAGAGCATTTGGAGATAATCGTTCCGTTGAGCGTGAATGGGACATGAGAAAACAATCCGTTCTTCATAAACATCGTTTTCTTTTTGTACTGAGTAGAGACCTCTTGACTATCAAGGGCTTCCATGACTGCTTCTATATTAGTTGAATCAATGGCCTTCTGTAAATCGATGAAAGTGAGACAGAGTGGTCTTTTGTACTCTCGCGATACTTCAATGAGCGGTGTTACTGTGCGGATGTGGCCTATTGTACTAAATCCTTTTCGGAACCCTACTTGCTCCCATGGCTGCCTTTCGTCCAGTGTTCTGCACATCCTGTTTAAGATTACTCGAGTGAATAGTTTGTAGACAACAGACACCAAGCAGATTGGACGATAGTTGCCGATATCGTGTAGGTCACCCTTCTTAAACATTAACACGGTTTTGCCCGTTTTCCACTGAGTAGGGACCTTGTATTCAGACAGGTAATGTGTGAAGAGCCGAGCCAGTGTGATTACGAGGATGGGCGGATGGTTCTCCGGGTGTTCAGATCTTATTCTATCCAGATCTGGTGCTGTTCGACTTTTCACCAACGAAATAGCATGTCGGATTTCGGAAGGAAGAACCGGTGGTACAACATATCCACCCTCCTTTATTTCATATGACGCAAGGTGGACGTGGCTATCGAAGAGACTTGAGTAGTATTCGTGAATGATTTTCTCCATTGCATTTATGGACGCTGTAACTGTTCCGTCTGGGCGTCGTAGTGCAATCATCTTGATCTTGTAATTGGCGAAGCTTCGGTGGGCTTTGCGTATGCTTTTCCCCGCCTCTGCAACTTCGAACATTACTGCTGCTCTTCTCTCCCTAAGATCTTCTTTTATCGCTTGTCTGCACTGTTTTGCAAGTTCGGACGTCACTTCGCGGTTGCCTGCAGCTCGCGTGATTCCACGCTGGCGTATCAGCTCGAGTGTTTCTGGAGACACGTCTCTTGGTGACTTTCGAACTCTCAGCTTTCATAGCTCTAACGTGAAGATGTTGAGTGAGCCGATCGTATTCTTCATCAATATTATCGACAATGGCATCTTCCCAACAGCCGACTAATGAATTGAATAAGTCCCAGCTTACGGTGGTTCTGGGACTTCGGTTTTTGAATTTAACGGCTTTTTCTCCTTTCCGCGAGAAATAGAATTTTGCACGAAGGAGACGGTGGTCTGATCCCGCGTAGAATTTTGAGAGAACAGTGACATCGGTTATACAAAACCTTCTATTTACTATGATGTAATCTATTTCGTTATGGTGCTCTCCATTGGGGGACTCCCACGTCCATCGCTGGGGTTGGGGCTTCTGGAATTGCAAATTACTATGGATTGTCTTGGTCGTAATGATAAACTGAGACAGCCGCTCACCCTGTTCGTTCCATTCTAATCCGTGGCTTGGCTCACAATGTGACGTTCTTCACGCGTTCTTCTTTTTCCAATCTTGGCGTTGAAATCTCCAATGATCACCTTAAAGAATGTATGGTCTTCTCTGTAGAATTTCTCCAAGTACATGTAGAACGCTTCGACTTCTTCATCATAGCTTGATGTCGGCACGTAAACGACGAAGATTGTCAAGGTCGGTGATCGACGTCTTTTCAATCGTAAACGTCCGATTCGGGTTGTAAGTTGTTCGAATGAATCCATGTTCATGGAGAAACTCGTGTAAACGAGAATGTCGACGCAGCCGACTCCTCTACTGTAGCATGTTCAGAAGAAAAGTTCTTCTCCGGTGTCATAGACAGCGGCCAGGCCGATAACGCCGTACCTTGTACTTCTTGCTCACATGAGCAAGTCTTCCATCGAGGACGCGAATGCAAGTGTACGTGCGTTGTAGGTACAGATCGTCACCATAGTTCGTTGTAGTCCAGACAGCTTCCATTGGCTCTGAGATTTTAGCAGCCTCTCCGTATTAGTCCTACCCAACGCTGCGAAATTGGGGGCACATTCGGGGTCAAGGGAATGAGGCTCGTTTCTTTTTACTGTGTTTAGCCTTTTGATACCCACGTATAGACTGCTCGGCTCTGGACGTGGGGGCTGGATATAGTCACGCGTAGCTTGCGAGGCTCTCCTAGAGTGGACATCGAGCTTATTTGTTGGAGGCGACCCCTAACCGCCTCCCATATGCTTCCCAGTCACTTCATTGCAGGTTTTTGGTCGAATTGACTCGTAGAATACAGTCCGCATAAGCGAGAACGCAACCCACACACGCATGCATGAATACGCCTCGTAAATACAGAAAGTATGTGCTAGATCGGCGCAACAGAAACAGGGGTGCATCTCTTTGTTTCACCTGCGTCTCAGGGAAATGTCCTGTCGCTTTTGGTCCGCGATAAACTCCCTATCCGCCACCTGGGAACGCGTCACGTAGCCTCGAGATAGTTCATACGAGGGAGTTCCGTGGATATATATATATATATATATATGTATACGTAAATCATTTATATGTAAATATATATATTTACATATATTTAACCACGGACCACGGATTCATCACGTGAGGGTAATTCCTGTCACATTAAGGGCTGCCACGCGTTTCTTTAATTTCACAACTCGATATTGCAGACCTGAGAATTTAAACCTTTGTATAGAAAAATATTAATGCAACAAAGACGGAGTGGTGGTATCAAGTAATTCAGCTGTAAAAACACTTGAACACTAACGTTATCAGCAAGCTCTGCGGAAGATGAGCAATGAGGAAAGCTAACAGCAGCAAAGAATCTTGGGCAGTTAAATACTTAAGTAATATAAGAAAACGGCAGAAGTATGATACATCATTAACCAAGAAGAACATCGTCGAATGCTATCATGATAGTAGGGTCCTGGCAAGAATAAGGTTGTAAATCAAAACTAGTCTTTAAATAGTGTTTACGAAGCGGGTGGGGCTGCTGAGCTAGGGGTGGAAACTAGAGGTATCTGTTCCAAAGTAAGGTCGGGGATGAGTGAAGTATGCCCGTGTCTCCATAAAGATGGCCGAGTGCGATTGGAGCGATAGAGGAACAGTCGAGGAGAGCATACGGCGAAGTTAATTTTATGATACAGTGCGTGACAACAGTGTTCAAGTAAGAATACACAAATAGCATAAGAAGCACATAATAGCGTGAAACATGAACATATATATATATATATATATATATATATATATGTATATATACACTTGTATATATACATATATATGTATATATATAATCTGTTTTCTTGGTTGCTTCTCACAACATTCGAAGAAATTTTGATGTGAATTAAAACGCCACCATTACGTAGCTTAATAACGCTACACATAGTTTATTGACGCGTGAGCACGTAGGTATGCACAACATTGGCTGATTTGCTAAAGGAGTCGATTTCTGACCTTGTAGCACTAACCATCTACATAATTTCATTATTCTCATTACCACATCAATCTTTTCTTAGGCATAACAGTGATAAATGGGATAATCTGCCAGTGGTCTTCAACCTTCTAATCTTCTTCTATATTCGGCTTCTTACAGGAGAGGTAAAGGAGGTTGAAATGTGGTTGCTGGCCATTACTGCTGGGATGTTCATTTACGTTGCCTGGATCGATATGGTAAGGTGCTCAGTTCTTCAATATATCGCGGACAACCAATTTCCAGTGTTAAACTTCCCGTATTCAGCTCGCTCACTTGAAACACGATGGCTCGCACATTGATCACTGGGTATCAGCCTGCGTTATACAATACTCAGGATTCACACTGGGATTCGTGGTGATTTTCGCTCTAGGCTGGTTCGAAAAAAATCTCTTTTCCAGCTGATCTTCGGACCAGGGGGATCACCAATTATCGGGCCGGACAGCATATTTTCACTTGAAATAATTTCACATTCTTATGTTGGAGCTCTTATTTGTAATAGACCTAATGACAGTTCTTTTTTTTGTGAAGTATGTTTAAGCAGAATCACAGAGCGCTTTTGTTCTAAATGTTCGAGATTGCCTCTGCTTCTTCCACATAACTAGCTAAGCTTTATACGGATTTCATAGACTGGGACTTAGTAAATCGTCGCTAGCACTTGTAAAAAAATGTTAAACATTATCCTAGAAATTATTTATCTTTGATATTTGTATAGCATATCATCGCAACACTTCAACTCGCACTAAGTAATAAATATTTTTGAAATTTCAAAGTATGACACATCAGACCATATAAGCTGATTTGAATCCATACATAACAGCTGAGCTTTTGTGATAATTGATTTCAACCGACAGCATTGGCAGAGGAACATTAGGCACCGTCGCCTGTGTTAATCATTTGTGTAGTTTTCAATGTACATGCGTTCTGGTTTAAGCATAATTAAATGGATAAAGGCGTGTATAGCGCAGTGGTCAGAGGAGCCCTGTAATACATGCGGGATCAATCCCGCGCTCCAGGCTAACCAAGCCCTCCACCGTTCCGGGATCGGCAAATTGACACCAGACTTGTCTGGAAGAATAGTAGCACTGGCTCGATACATCGGTAGGCTATCGTGAGTCATTGTAAAGGCCAGATGTGCATTCAATCACCTTCAACGATGCTTAGTGAAGCCGAATATATGGCACATCTTCCAGGGATTGACCAATGCCGAAAGCTTCATCCTTTTCCTTTCATAGATAAACTGGGTTTGGGATATCATCTAGCAGTTAACTCTCCATTCATTCGACTTCATCAAGCATCGTTAGGGGCGATCGGATTCATAGGTTGATCGTACAATTCTTGGTGGCCTACTTATGGTCAAATTGGTGCTGCTCTCCTTGCAGAAAGGTCTAGTACCAATATGCCGACTCCGACAGGATGGAAAGTTTGTGATCCAGTTCATGAGATGAACCAACAAACACATATGTACTGCTGGATACTTTCCACTACGCTCCAAGCGTGACAGAGTGGTAGAAGAAGCATTAAATGCAAGGTGAGGAACCTTCTTTAGATCATTAGAAAAATACTCTGTTGAAACCGAGATTACAACGTAGATATGAATGCGTCGTTTTCTTGTTCAGCAACCGCGAGGTTTTTAAACAGCATACATTTAACCTTTTTACTTACTGCCTATTCTTTTTAATGGCAGGATATGTTGCGAAATATAACTCGTATAATGCTGAGATATTTGCAAAACTCCGGACCTCAGGTGTATACGGTGGAGAACGAACACGCGCTGTTGTCCTTACCGGGAGCAGCGCACTTCACCACCACACTATCCGTGTCCTTCGTTTTACCTGTCTCTCAGCTAGTTCTACCGATCTTTTGCCATCAGCAATCACCCTTCAACGGGATTGATTTGGGGGGCTCAAATCGGCAACGAACCCAGTTAAGCCGAGGCCGCAGTTATAATCACAATTTAACGTATTATTTACTGCCTATTCTTTTTAACGGTAACGCTCCCCGGTAAGGACAACAGCGCGTGTTCGTTTCCCACCGCATACACCTGCGGTCCGGAGTTCTGCAAATATCTCAGCATCATTGAAGTTATATTTCACAATGTATACCCTGC